AGCAACATTAAATAAATGGGACCTCCTGAAATTGAGAAGCTTCTGTAAAGCAAAGGGCACTGTCAACAAGACAAAAGGACAGCCTACTGAATGGAAAAAGATCTTCACCAACCCCACATCTGGCAGGGGACTGATCCCCCAACTATATAAAGAACTCAAGAAACTCCAAATAATCCAATTAAAAATGGGGGTACAGACATAAACAGAAAATTGTCAACAGAAGAATCTCAAGTAGTCAAAAGGCACTTAAGGAATGTTCAACATCCTTAGCCTTTAGGTAAACTCGAATCAAAATGATCCTGAGATACCATCTTACAGCAGTCAGAATGGCTAAGATCATAACACCAATAATAGCTTATGCTGGAGAGGATGTGGAGAAAGGGGAACATTCCTCCACTGCTGGTGGGAATGCAAACTTGTACAGCCACTCTGAAAATCAGTACGGCAGCTGCTCAGATAATTGGGAATCAACCTACTTCAGAACCCAGCAATATCACAACTGGGCATATACCCAAAGGATGCTCAATCATACTACAAGGACATTTATTCAACTGTGTTCACAGCAGCCTTACTTGTAACAACCAGAACATAGAAACAACCTAGATGCCCCTCAAACTAAGAATGGATAAAGAAAATGTACATTTACATATTGGTATACTACTCAGCAGTTAAAAAAAATGACATCTTGAAACCTGCATGCAAATGAATGGAACTAGAAACAACCATCCTGAGAGAGGTAACCAAGGCCAAGAAAGACGAACATGGTATGTACTCACTCATAAGTGGATATTAGTTGTAAAGTAAAGGACAAAGTACTTATTATGAATGCCCACAAAGAAGCTAAGTAACAAGATGAACCATAAAAAAACATATATAGATCCCCCTGAAAAGTGGAAATAGACAAGATTGCCTGACAAAATTGAGAGTATGGGGATGAGGGGAGAAGGGAGGGCAAAAGTGGAAAAATAGGGTACAGGAGGAAGGAGGACAAAAAATTGAGGAGTGGAATAGTTGAGATAGAGGAAGGACAGAGATGAGATCAAGGATAGAATAGAGATATTTTTATTGAGGTAGCCATTATGAAACTAGCAAGAAATCTGACACTAGAGAAATTGCCAGGAATCCACAAGGATGACCCCAGCTAAGACCATAAACAACAGAGGAGAGGTGCCCAAACTGGCCTTGCTCTGTAGTCGATTGATGAATATCTTACATGGCTCCATAGAACCTTCATCCAGGCACTGAGAGAAAAGAGGCAGAGACCCACAGTGTATCGCTGGGCTGAGCTTGCAATGTCCAGATGAAGATTGGAAGGAGTGAGAATATGAGCAAAACAGTAAAGACTATGATGGGTAAACCCACTGAAACAGTTTACCTGAGCTAATGGGAGTTCATAAACTGCAGCCAGATAGGGAATGAAGCAGCAAAGGACTAAACTACAACCCTCTGAATGTGGGTGATAGTTGTATGACTGTTGGGCCACTGGCAGTAGCACCAAGATTTATCCCTATTGCTTGTGCTAGTTTTTTTTTCAGAACCCCTTTTCTTTGGATGGATACCTTTCTTAGCCTAGATATAGTAGGGAGGGCCTTGGACCTTCCTCAAAATAATGTACCTACCTTACCCTCTCTGACGAGTGGATGGTGGGTGTTGTGTGTGGGTGGGAGATAGATTGGGAGGATGGGAGGGAGTGGGAACTGAATTTGGTTTGTAAAATGAAAAAGATAGTTTGTTTTTAACAAAGTAAAAGATGTCTGAATTAGAGAGGTGTTTCAGCAGTTAAGAGTGTACACCGCTCTTGCAAAGGACCCAGGCTAACTTTCAGAGCCCATAGCAGACATCTTCCAAATGTCTCTTCCTCTACCTAGGAGCTCCTGTCACCTCTGTCCTCCAAGGACACATGAACTCCTGTTAACAAAAACTACACACAGAGACACATTTACACACACTCAAATGATAAAAAATTAAGCCTTAGTTAAAAGAGTTGAAGATGCACCCCTTTGGTGCGGGAGAATTGTCTGTATTCTGTCAATCATATTTTAATAAAACGCTGATTGGTCAGGCAGGCAGTATAGGCGGGAAAGCCAGACAGGACGTAGGGGTGGAGCAAAGAGACTGGGAGTATTCTGGGACACAGGAAGCCCTCAGCGACTCCTGCGCAGATCACTGAGGAGGCAGCATGTAACTTGCCCAGCTGAGAAAGGTACGGAGCCATTATGGCTAACATAGATGAGAATAATGGGTTAATATAAGTTATAAGAGTTAACAAGAAGCCTGACCTAATGGGCCAATCAGTTTATCACCTTATGGAGTCCTGTGTGTGATTTTTCCTTGGGACTTGCTGGCTTGTTGGGGTACTGGGCGGGACGGAAACCCCAACAAGCCAGCCGTCATGTTACACCCCTTCAAATCAAGTTGCCGTACTAAGAAAAGACAAAGGAATCTTACAGAAAGTAGGACAGATGTACATAGAAGTGTCTTCAGTTCAGGGTGTGTGTACATGGCGAGATATTAATACAGTGATTATTCTGAGCTGAAGGCATCTGGGAAAAAATAAGTACAACAAGGAAGAGTCTGAATTCCCTCATTGATAGGTAGACTCTTCCAAAGGAAATCAAAAAATCGACTAGAAAATATTCAACTCATTCCTGTCACAAGAGAGAAAACTAGACCAACTATTTCATGACTATTGTATCTCCAATCTGTTCCTCTAAGGAGCATTCATTTCTTCCAGGATAAATGTATTCCCTAGTAAGTGAAAACATACCTGCATCTGTCATCCTCTCTCTTGCTGAGATAAGACATAAGGTCTGAAGATTGTCTGGGCAGGATATCACTCCAAATATGATATACTGTCATTTGAGGAAATAGAAGCTAGAAGATCATATGCTCTTTAATCCTGCATTCCCCAAAGCAGACCATAAAATTCAATGACATTCCAGTGATGTCCCTCCAGAGACACCATTCTGTGAGTAGGGAAAATGCTGCCTGTACCTCTGAAAAGTCATGTGAAGAATGTATTGAGTACACAGTCTTGCTGAGTCACCCCCAGCTTATTGTTTATAGGCATTTTCATTACCAACTTATGTATCACACACTTAATATAACCATACGAAGGTTTCCTTGAGTCTCCCTTTCTGGAAGCATGGATGTCATTTACAGTACTCATTAAATACTTGTGTCCCGCATGCTACTCTCTTGTTAATCCCTCTTCATGGATGCTTCAGTCATAATCAATGCACTAGGTGACAAAGGGTCGTACTTTTTCTTATTCACAATTCTTAGATTTCACCAGATTCTTGCTCTATGTATGTGTGTGCCATGTGTGCTGTGTGTGTATGCTTAGAAAAAAATATTTTGATAGCCAGACACAATTAAATAAACTTTTGCTTGACAAACATTTCAACCTGTCCTTGAAATATTTGATATCTGAGCTTGGCAATCTCAATAGACTATATGGTTGTTAAATCTCATCCTTTATGTACCTAAAACAACTTACTTATAACTTCATAATTTCCAAACATTTTCCAATCTTTTTATTTCTAGAGCCATCCAGTCATTATCATCTTAATACAAGTAAGTCCTTCCTTACTAAAGACATTTCCATACATTCTTATATGCACTGCTTTCTTTTTCTAACCCCTCTTCTATGAGCTAATATCAACACTCAGCAACCCTGCTGGTGGATTTCCTTTGTAAGCAGGCAAAGCTGATCATAGGAAGGTGCCACTTGTTTGTCTTATGATAATGTTGAGCAACAACAATGAAATAAAAGAAAGCTAAATAGAAACTGTATATAAGATAATACAAGAAATTAGTATTTCCTAGGTTCAGTGTGTTAAACTAAACCTTAGCAAAAACACAAGGCATTCTTCATATAATACAAGCACTGCTACTATAACTATGCTTTTGAATTTTAATAGCTGAATGTAAGCAATACATACAGCAAATACATCATCAAATTCATGAGTAAAGAATCCAGAACAACAAATCTCAGTGATCCCTTTTAAAACTATGATGCTCCAGCTTACTACAGAAAGATCTTTACACAGAGTATCTCTCTAAGTTCCCCTTTGATAAGCATCTCATTTGTTCTTTTTACCACAGAAATGTGACCAATAGCAATGTACACAAAAGGTGAATAAACATTTTACACCCTAGCATCCTCTTCCCAATCAGGACTTCTTGGCATACTACTTAGCTTCGTGGTCTTTTAGAGGCAGTCCTTCCTTAGCTAAATTCTACCTTGTGTAACTTAATACCTTCTAAGCATTAGGAAATCCTTTATATCATCAATTCTGCTCTTCTAGATCACAGTGTAACATTGCAGTTCTACCCAGAATGTAAGATGACAAATACAGCCTCTTCAAATAATCTCCAAAGGAATCTTACACCTAAATCTTAAACAAAAAGTGCAGAATTTCCAGATAATGCGTGAGAACTAGGTCTCTCCAAATTTGGCAGCCTGCTGCCTATGCCTCAGAGGCGTTTCTCCTCCGAGGTCCTGATGTATAAAGAAACAGTATCATTCTCTGAAATCAGGAATATGCTTCCGAGAGCTGTTAATGGTCTGGGGCCCCGTCCTTCGTGAAGAGGTTGCTTCAGATCCTGAGAACCCAACTCTTTCATGACAAGAGGCTGAGATTATCAGCCATAATGCCACTGCAAATATTTTAAATTATATTCTTGAGTTATCCTATGTTTGTTTTGTGCAACAATTTCTGATTAGCATCCTTCTGATTTTGCATACTTCTTTTTAAAACAGAACCCGTTGCTCTTTATTAACAAGAGACTTGCCGTAGAATTTGGCACAAATTCCCAGCTAATCTGGGGTAAATCTGAGTTTAGAAGCAAAGCTAGGGCCAAGAACCATTGTGTTGTTCCAGTCAGCACACTATGTCCTGTCACTCAGGCAGCACTTAGCCAATCAGAGCCGCCAGCGAATGCGCTTGTCAGATGGGCGGGTCCTTCCTGATTCCCGGCTAGTGTGCTCTCCTGAGGAAGTCTCAAGTTACTTACCCCTGTAGGCTGCGTCTTGGGTTCCTGGTGCGGGGAGCACGGATGAGCTGTGCAGCAGGACCATGGTGAACTATGAGCGTCTGTCATCAAACAAGGAAGTTTGGCACGCCATGGTGAGTGAGGGACCGCTGTCCCCAAACTCTGCGGAGCAGCTCTCTGATCCACGGAAGCCCATGTTTCCCTCCCTTGTCTGGGTGGGAGCTAGTGGGCAGACGCTGAATTGGACATGTTCGTTCCTGCATGGCTGTGGCTGTTCGCCCGCAGTCGTTATCATTCCCTGGGCCGAGGCAGCAGTTTCCGAATCATTTAACTCCGCAGGCTGCATCTGTGAAAAGATTGGGGCGTGTAATCGTATTTAGAAATGTCCGTCCTGTGGTCTTTACTGTGAAATACTGCTGTCTGTAGTACTTGTGTTGTCAATATGGAAGGCACAATTGACAAACTCGGAGAACCCTGGTCTCTGTCGTGTCTTCCTGAAGATCTGAACTTGTAAAATTTGACATTTAGGTTTAGGATCCATCTGGGTTAATTTTGTGGAACTTTTAAATAATGCGTCCTATGTAGAGTACATTCCCTTGCTTGACTGATGTAGACGAGTAGAATTGGTGATAATAGTATTGATGGTGTAAGCATTTAGGAAATCTTAGGGAGACATGAAGTCGCTTAAAGTAGAATTTAGCGAAGGGAGGACTGCCTCGCAAATAGCCCAAAAATAAGTAGTTTGTTAACCACACCTGTTAGAGGTTAGTAAGATAAAATGTAAATGTTTGTTAATCAGCATCAATCAGCCATTAGCTACACTCCCAGAAAAAAAAAAAAAAAGATTAAACACTGATTTACTGTGGGCCAAAAGTCTCCCTTCCCTACTTCAGAGAGCAGGCCTCTAACATGCTGCTTAAGGGGGCATTAAAGGGTCACAATCAGCATTAAGTCCTGCTGTGACATAAAACATATCAATTCTTAAACAGCTGCCTTTTAACCCATTTTGAGAAGCAGTCTTCCATTTTGAGTCAGCCTCTTCAATGATGCCAGAGACTGATTTGAACCCTGTCTACAGTCCCGGAGGGCATTGCCCTTGCTAGGCCTCTGACTAAGCACCCAAAGTTTTTGGATTACACCTTTCCAGAGTCCTCAAGTTACCAGTTTGAATCACAGAGTGGACTGTCAATTGCAGGAAGAGTAAAAGGATTTGCACGTGGAGCATGGCTCTCTTCAGACCATAAGAGGAGGAACAGTGTCTGCAGTGCGCTGCAGGGGGAGACAGACTAGGCAGTAGATATAGATCACAGACTAATGCTTAAGGCAGTGAGCCCAGAGCGCTGCATCATAAAGAAGGACCTGAAGGGGCACAGTGAGTGACTCTGTGTATTTCCCAGCATGTATTAATTCTTTCCACGTGAATAAAGATAAACATAATTGAGGAGAATAGAATTTAGGGAGGGTAGCTTTAACCAATAAATATTTAATTTTCAATTAGTGAACTCTCCCATGCAGATGTGTGCAGTCCTGGTTGACACAGTAAGGTCACCTGAGAGGTTTGAGATGTAGGCCATGGACTGTCACTCTTTGTCAGTTTAAAGCACTCAGCAGCTAATGTTTTACATGAGACAAAGTCATACAGTCTCTTATGGATGACATTCTCTTCACAATGAAAATACCCCCTCTTTTTCAAAGTCGTTCTAGCTAAGTATTCTTCCAGTTATATTTACCTCTTTAACAAGTCAATTATTGATACCGTTTTCTAAATTTCATTTTAAATGCATTACTGCTCTATGCTTTGTTGTTTCTATTTTCCAGACATTTCCTAGTCATTAAGAACTTCGTTTCACTTTTTTTCTTAATTGCTATTTATTTATGTATTTATATATTTATATCATTTTAGAATAGTGGTTGTAATTCTATGGGTCATGCCCCTTCATGGTCAAAACCCTGTAACAGGGGTTACGTAAGTCCATCAGAAAACACAGATGTTTATTATACAGTACGTAACAGTAGCAAAATCGCAATTATGAAGTAGCAATGGAGATAATGGGGGAGGACACCACTACAATAGCAACTGTATAAAAAGGGTCACAGCATCAGGACAATTGGAAAAGACTAAATCAACATCCCCAACAGCTGAAGCTTGCCTCCCTGTATGAAACTGGACATTGCTGTGAACACCTATTCCTGACTTTGCAGCCCAGTGCTGGCAAGACAGCTCTCTTCTCCATCCAGGCTGATTTTATTTCCGGGATTTCTTCACTTTATTTATTTCTTCCATTTTCATTTTCATGTCTTGAAAAGGTTTATTTATTTTCTGCAACTATTGTTTTTTTTCCTCTTTATTTTGGGATTTATTTGTTTCCTACATTCTTTTTCTATTTCCCTGAATTTATTTGAGCGATTTATTAATTTTCCTTTTAAGGGCCTTTGTCATCTTGATATATTTAGTTTTAATGTCTTTTTGTCATAGTTCAACCCTGTTGGAATATTAGGAACAGCCGAGATAGGATACCTGGACTTTGTTGTGACACACTTCTCTGGCTCTTGTGGATTATGTTCCTATGCTCATATCTAGGAATCTGGGTTTGGAGGAATTGAATCGAGTTGCTGATTTCTGGGAAAGTCTTGGTTGGATGGGAGTTTTTTTTTTCCCCTAAGTTTCTGTTTGCTCCCTGGAATTTCAGAGCGTGTAGTAGGTGAGTAGTGCCTTTATTACCAACATTGGCTGATGTGTTCAGAGGAGAATCCTTGCTGGTGTTGGAAGCTAGAGGAAGGGGAAGCCAGTGGGAGATTATCCTAGCTATTTATTGGAGGCCTGGAGAAAGGGTAAGGGTAATGGGAAGCTGTCTCTTGTGTTCTAGTCCAATGTTAGGGGCAACTGTGAAAACTGGATCTAGGGTAACAGATAATATGGTAGATATGCAAATAGCTTACCTGGTCATCTGGCAGATGTGGCAAGTATTTGAGCTGGAGGGTGTCTGAATCAGTTGTGATGGGGACACAGAGGAAAGACAAGAAGGGATGGGCCGGTGACGATGTGCTATGGAATCCACAGAGACATGTGGATAAATGAGAAGAATTTATAGCTGCTGATCTGTTGCAGCCCTAGGGGTCTTAGGTAACAGATAGTGGGGAAGGAAGGTCTGCAGGCAACCTACCAGGTCACATACTAAAAATCTTAATAATGATACACCAGGTTCCCAGGCAGCATTTACTTACTTCTTTCTTTATTTAGGTTTTTGTTAATCTGTGAAATACTTTTAGTTTATTGGATAAAACGTACTATGTGGGCTGGACATGTCATTTAGCAAGTGCTCTTCTTGGGGTTGACCTGAATATAGAAACCAGTACCCAAGTCTGGAGGCTTATAACTACCTGTTACTCCAGATATAGGAAATCTGAAATAATCTTATTTGGAGTGTCACTTGTACACACATGGAAAACAAGATGCTTTGGTTGTATAATACAAACCCTTCAATGTCTATTTAAATATCTGTTATTGTGAATGTGTTTTGATTTGGTCTTCATTTTTCCACATCCAATCATCAATTACAGGAAGGAAAATAGTTTCTAAGTGATCCTAACAGACATCCTTTTCTTCATCATAAGGGAATGAGATTCTTTTAGTAGTCAGAAACATTTTTCTGCAATGGAAAAACACCTGAAGGCGTCTAGAAAATCTATTCAATTTTGGTGGAACAGCCCTTCTTGCTCAAGCCTTTTTGTATCATGTGAAAAGTAGAGAACTTCAGGACCCATGGTGACTTCTTTGATTTTTATTTTGTTAGAATCTTGTAGTTCTCGGCTGACATCCCATGGAAAATTTGTAGATCTCCGTTTGTGTGTCCTTTTATCTTTGGTGTCATCTATATTGTGATATTTTATTAGGTATAGTCTAATTATATTGTTGTTTATCTGGAAAATGATGGAACTTCACTTATTTTTGTATTCTATCCATTTTCTTCATCGCAACCTTCTCAAAAGTTCTTCAATTGTCTACTGTTCCTCACCTGGACTCATTCCCAGAGGCTCTGCGGGTTACTCAGGTAGAAGACCTTTTTACACTACACAGATGTCCAATAAATTACCTTCCTCTCATGCATGTTCATGGTGCCATCTATTTAGAGACCAACTCCTAATTCCTCACTGGTTTGATTACCAGTAATGAATGTTTGACATTTGCTCAAAGATGAAACCCTAACCACCTGTTTCATACAAATGGTCCTGCATAGCCAGAGCCATTTTTATTTATACAGTTTTAATAGGTTGCATAAACAGATTTACAATGAAATTTGTTCGTCAAGTTTCTTTTTTTTTAAAGTAAATTTTATTAAATTATAAAAGTTTTCATTTCCGCCCCCCCTCCCAACACCTTCCCACTCCCCCCACTCCCCCTCCTCCTCCCTCTTCGTCCCCCAGGGCAGTCAGGGTTTTCTGCCCTTTGGGAAGTTCCAGTTCCTTCCCCCTCCCTCTAGGTCCAGGAAGGTGAGTATCCAAACAGACTGGATCCCCAAAATCCAGTATATGTAGAGGAAACAGGTCCCAGTGTCATAGTCAATGGCTTTTCAGAAAGACTTCGGGCCAGCCACAGTCAGAGAATCCGGCCAAATTCCGAGAATCTGGTTAGATCACGTCCTCGTTCAGTCCCAGTCCAACTGGCCTTGGTAAACTCTCATCAGATCCGTTCCCTTGTATCAGTGGGTGATAGCATCCCTCGCAGTACTGATTTCGTTTTTCATGTTCTTCCTCCTTCTGCTCCTCATTTGGACGTCGGGGGGCTCAGTCCGGTGCTCCAATGTGGGTCTCCGACTGTATCGCCTTCCTTCGCCAGATGAAGGATCTGGGACTCTTGTCTATTTCCTACCTCCTGGTGGATAGCTAAATAATCTTCATCAGGTTCATCTTCTTATTTAGCTTCTCTAGGATCACGAAAAATAGGCTCAAAGACCTTTAATTATGGTTAGAATCCACTTATGAGTGAATACATACCGTGTTCCTCTTTTGGGTCTGGCTTACCTCACTCAGTAAAGCGTTTTCTATTTCCATCCATTTGCATGCAAAATTCAAGATGTCATTGTTTTTTACCGCTGAGTAAAACTCTAATGTGTATATGTTCCACACCTTTTTT